TGACAACGGGTGACAAAGAACCGGAAATAACATCCGGTGTTGAAATCAGATTTTGCGTTAATAATTTGCCACCCCCACCCTCTTCTAGCACTCAACAACAGGTGTGTATGTCTATATGTGTGCGTGCAGAGTGTTGTGGTAAAATCATATGTAAATTAAGACCAACAACAACAACTCCAGCCAGTGGCAGGCTTTTGTTTTTGGTCCAACAAGTAACATTTGAAGGTGGTAGTGGCTTATCTGAATGTGTTGCCTTAATCAAACTCCCAATAACTAACCGAAAAACTACAACAACAACAAAATAATAGTTTGTCACAATTCAACGACCGACCGCACTTTACGCATCGCCACATTTTATGAACTTCATTTCAAATTCCAATTTGAATTTGAAAAAAAAAATAGCCAACGTTAGAATTATTTTTTCGGCGGAGTTGTGGGGTAAAACCCCCCCAAACCTCAAATATTAAGGTCAATGGAATTGAAGCGTTATAGTATAGCTTTGACGAACAAAAAAAATCACAATCAAATAACATCAATTATTTCTGCCGAATTGACATGGAATTATGGCTGATGGTTTTAATCATATCTTTGAAAAATCCCTAATTAATGGTGAAATACCAAAATTATATATATATATTTTTTTTTTTGTACAGATTGGCTTGAATTGAAAATAAGTGGAAATTATTGTGGTTTGTGAGCACATCTACAATTCAGGATTCGTTTGAATTTGTCTCCACCTAAAATGTTTGAGATAGAAAGCCGAAGGTCATATTCGCCCAGTTTTGATATTTTAAGTTTCTACTAATGTTCCTGTATTTCAAATAGCAAATAAAATAAACTGAGTACCTGAACTAAAAAATACGTGGTGGTTTATAATCCACTACGTATCAGTTGAGAGGACACCTTGGCTAGTAGATTAAGAAAGCGATATTTTCCCATTTTCGTAACCCCGTTAATTCGTAAACCCCGCTTATTCGTAAAAAATGCCGGTTTCTGGTAAAACCGCCATAATTCGTAAAAATCCCATACATTTCGGTCCCCTCGATAATTCGTAATTATACCCTTCACCACACTGTGGTACAGGGTATTATGTCTTTGTGCATATGTTTGTAACAGGCAAAAGGAATCAAGATAGACCCATGGTTCCTTTTGAGAATATGCATATAATCACTTTTTAAGTCGATTTATGCATGTCCGTCCGTCCGTCTGTCTGTCCATGTTAAATTGTAAACAAAGTACAGGTCGCATTTATTATCCGAATTGGAAGAAATTTGGCATACTTCACTTATTTGGCCCAAGGACGAACCCTACCCTATTATCGGCCCCGTCCGACTTTACCACTTTCCTTACTGGTTTTTTTTCCAACGAAATGCCTAAATACCTGTTATAATTCGTAATTTGTTTCGTAAACCTCGATAATTCGTAAACTTAAAATGGTTTATTTATCTCTTTCTCTTCGTTCGTGCATTTTAAAGTATCCGGTGCCGCATTCTTTGTAGGAACCCCAGTTTTTTGAGCTCATCGTGCGACATTAACGGGAAACCATTGACTAGTGATTCTCTGCTCTGAAGTGACAATACATTTGTTTTTGCGTGTGCCTTTCTCTAACTTTTATTATTTTAATTTTTCTGCAGCTCAGTTAATTTAATTCAAATGTCACAAAACGATAACAGTACTAAGCGCTATCTATTCGCACAATCCTCGAATCCTTAATGAGTGAAAAAATGTATGTAGAGAGTCGCTACCACATTTCGCAAAAAAGGAGGCGAATTCGTGGAGCTTAAGGATTGACTTCTCGTATGGTTTACGTACCTAAATACGTATGTATACTCACGATCGAATAAAAACCTCGTTAATTCGTATTTTTTCTTGCTTCCTACCGCTAATTCGAAAACCTCGTTAATTCGTATAAAACCGTCGGTCCCTTGACATTACGAATTATCGGGATTTTACTGTATATATACAAGTTCGTTTAAATGAGCACCACCATGTGTAGTAGTAATCGAAACATCAACCGGGAAATACTCTGCCAATATATGTTTAAGCTCCACGAGTCCGGAATGCCAGATTGCAGTCACACTAAAATCGTAAATGTGCATAAAATGGGGTGGAACCGTTCTATGGAGACTATGTCACAACATGGACCCACATTGAAAATTGTCTGAAAATATGTTTTTCATCATCCAAGAACTAGAAATAATTAAGTATAGTCACTTCGGAACCAAAATGTGGCTAAAAGTCTTAAACATCTTAAACATTTCGAAAAAGAGACGGTTCATGGACCTATATTGAAACACTAGCATATTTCCGCTACTTCGTTAGTAAATGCGGGAAATATTTAAATATTTTTTAACATACTATGTTGATTTCATAGAAGAGCTAATTAACCCACACACCAATATCGAACATAATTAAAATTTGAGTACCATTTAATACCATTTTTCCCTTATAGTAGATATCTCTACACTGACCACAATAGAAATGTAGCTCTATGCTGCAATTTTCAGGTTTCCAGCTCAATCGGTTCACCAAAAATTCAAATTATAAAAAATTGTTGTACCCTTTAGCACACATAAGTCCGAACATCCAAAACTACTCCCATACCTCAATACTACACTCCAACAGTAATCTTAATTCCAAATTTCAGGATTCCAGCTCTGTAGGTTCACCCAAATCCAAATTGTACCAAATATAGTACCATATAGTACTTTTCGTACACATAAGTACAAATTTCGAAAAGTTCCGACATATTCCAATCATACACTCAGGATTCCAGCTCCATCCGTTCCTTCAAACTCAAGTTGTACCAAAATTACACTAAATACACACTTTCAAAACCACCAAGGCTTCCCAGCTTTGGGATTGAATGTCACAGTTAGCTCTCTCCGCACATTTGATTATTAAAACCTGATCCAGAAGCTCCATCTGGTCCAGAAGTTTTATAGGATTGAAAATTGTTAATCGCCCATACCAGTTTGGGATAAATTATTAGGTCTTCTATCAGAGGATCATGTGCCTAGGTAAAGTAACATATGTTCATCCGTACCCAAGCTTCTACTCTCTGGAAAATGGATGTCGGATAAAAGGTCTAGGGTCTCTATACAAGAGTTAGACAACGTTCCATTTTTTCTTTTAATACTACCGCACGGATTAAAAAAATCTAGGGTCTCTAAACCACATTAGTCAAGGTTCCATCATTTTTTTAAATAATACCTCACTGATTTAGGGTCCTTCGATATTATTCACCGATGTATTGTAGCTTCATTAACTCCTTTTATGGACTCAATAAAGCTTAATATCATTTTTTAACCTATTGAAATGCTTCTTACTGGCCTTGTGTTGGTTCATAGAGACGCAAGGTCCATCGTCAACCAATCTGGCTGTTACTTTTTTTCTCGGGGTAGGTGATTGGGCAAGACCCATAGCATCTTAGAAGAGTGTTGATGACATCATTCATTATTATTCCCGCTACTGTTTTAGCATTGATTTTGTTCCAATTCATCGTCCTAGGATTCCTATAAGACTTATTTTTCACTCCGAAATTGGAAATTTGGAAAAATGTCCGAGAAGGAGCATCTGAAGAGTGATACATTTTTCAGTTAACAAATTTACTAACTTACTTAGCTGGCGTATGATAGAACATTTTTTTCCATAAGCTGAGCTTAAAAAGGTTTACAGCGCGTCGGACTTTTGCACAGCTCTTCCAATTTGAAGGACCATGTTCCTTCAAATGTTGTCTTCCACTTGATCTTTCCATCGAATTCGTGGCCTTCCCCTTTGCTTTTATATGCCTTTTGAGCTGTGGCATCCTCATCCCAGCCAACGTAGTCGCTACGTCTAACTATGTCGATGTGCGAGAATAAATGGTTCATTAGACGGCGATATTCACCGTCAACGCAGATCGGCCCATAGATCTTCCAGAGAATTTTTCTCTCAAACACTCCAAGAGCTGCATGGCATGAGGTGGCCTTGCTTTTGAGTTGTTCACTCAGATCATAGTAGCATCTGTTGGCCAACACTGTTCTCCTCCGAATTCCATAGCTGATGTTATTAGTTTTGAGCTCAGAGAGGTCCTTTCCGACTTTAATTGTTGATATTTTGCCAGTTAAAGTTATCCTGCATAGCCGTATCATATTACAGAAATCAGAGAGTGTCAATGTGTTTCTCGTGGGTCTTTTCCAGGATTTGGCGCAATATGAATATCTGGTCTGTGATAGATTTACCAGGATCTGAAGCTGGATAGCAACTCGACAATTCTATTTTTTTTTTTTTTAATTTCTAGTCCCTCTGGAGGCCACAATTATATCCCGAGCATCAAGAAATTTTATGTGGAGAAGGGAAGTCGGCAACAAGAAAGCTAGGCTTTTAATGGCGGACTAATGGACTAAGACTTTTGTATGTAGTACTTGAGTAGGGTATGATATGATCAGCATTGTCCATACATATACCTTCTTTTGCTAAACAAATACAATGTTTTATTGAACTTAATCGAATAACATCTAATACAAATTTTGCGGTGATCCAATTTCCCTACTATCGGCAGCAATCAAAATTGGAACAACTGGAAAAAAAGCCACAAAAATTCGTTCGAAAATTTGCTGCAATTGCATGAATATTGTTTTTCCTTGGCACACAATTTTTCCATCTATAATTTGATAACCTACAAAAGGAAATGCAATTATTTATTTATCAAAAATTGATTTCATTGCAGCGGAGGCAGCAGCGGTAGCAACTGATCAGACCAGATTGCTGGAAAAAAAGGCAACGTAACTGCGATTACCAAAAAAACAAATCATGTTTTTGCGATAACAACCCGCAGACATACAGATCGAGCAGAAATTCCTATCCAGCAGATACATCGAAAGGCTGGATCAAAAGTAAGGCACAACGACAATACGACTCATTTGAAATTCAATAATCTCCCTCTCCATCCATCCCGCTTTACATTAGGAATTCAAGATAAGGAGTAACAGCAACAACAATCCGAATACGAGAATAGCCACATTATCCGACACAATGTTGATGATGACGCTAACACTGACCATGAAACCAAAAACGAAACCCAGCATAATTCTATTAGTTGTAGCCATATTTAGTTTAAGCTTCCAAGAGATTTATGGTGAGTAATGGCAGCCAGGCATTTATCATCGCCACCAAGAGCATACCCCCCTTCTCGCGATTCACAAAAAATGATGATGTATTAATAATAATGTTGTTGTGGCTTTTGTTATTGCAGCACAAACCACTTGCAAGAATGGCCTGGGACGTGTTCTCTACGAACGCCTGCCAAATCAACAGCTACAAGGCTACGATGATGATGTGGTACGCGACACGGCTCCACCTTTTCGCGTTCTAGAGAAATGTCAGGATTTATGTTTGCGTGATCGTACTGGCACCAATAATTTGGTGCGTACCTGCACCAGTTTCGATTTTCAACCGGGCAGTCGGATAACAGCATTTGGCGGCAACATGGAATACGAAGAGTCACTCTGTTATTTGACATCCGAACAGGCTGGGCCAGAAGGTATTGGCAGCTTGATGCTGGTGCCGAACAGTGTACACTTCAATGAGATTTGTTTGACATGTAAGTCGGAATGGAGCAGTTTAATTTCTAGTGGTGAATCGCCAGCTGGAATGCTATGGATTTAAGTGTTGTTTGTTTTTGTAATTTCTATATTTATACATTTTTTCTTTATTTTTTGCTTCATTTCAAATACAGCTAGCCGTCCCGAGCGTGAATGTCCCAGTCGCCGTTATGTTTTTGAGCGTCATCCTCGCAAAAAACTTAAATTGCCTATATCGGACATTAAAGAGGTTGGTATTGTGGTATTTGTTGTTATTATTATACATTGGCAATGACGTTGGAGCGACCAGCAGCTTCGTCTTGGGAAATTATCTTTGATGCTTAATCTACACCTATGATGAATGTTTTGATAATGTTGATTTCTTTCCACATTTTTGGAATTGATAATGGGTTTGGGTTTCTGATTTAAGTTCTTGACTTTAGATTGATTTATAACATGGTGCTGTGGGACAGGCGTAGATAATCGTACACAATAATCATCTAAAAATTTATGTAATTTTTTGTTTTGTATGGAATAGATCTTTGTGATTTATATTATATTTCGATTTAATGAGGGTATTGGGTTCCGTGTTGCCATACATATGGCATAAACACAAATAGAGAGACGCCAATCACGTCAAAAACTAGATTGGCAATACTACTCTCAACGCCAACCACTAAACATTTGCTCTGTTGCAGAACCTGCAAGAATCTTCTATTAAGGGGACCCCCATTCTCGGGGTCAGAAATTTTTTTGTTTTAATTCGAATCTACACTAATTCAAGAATGCCCCTACAAAATTTCAAGTGAAAATCTCAAGAACTCTTGAAGATATAGCTGATTTATTGTGTCAGCATCAAGTGACGGCTAAAGGGCTTCTCAAGCTTTAAACGCGTTTTTCTCTTTTGCGATGGCGGGCACGATAACTCAAAAACTAATAACCCAAATTTTTACACGTTTCTCTGTGAGCGAATAGCTATCGTATGAACTAAGATAAAGCCAATCGGTGAAGATGTTCCTTATTTTTTAACTTGGTTTTTGGTCAAAATTCGGCGATTTTCCAAAAATATTTTTTCAAAGGTTCGCCATTTTGTTAATTTTGGAGCTAAGTCAATAATCCTAGTTCATACGAGAGCCAGACAATCGTGAATGGGGGGGGGGGGGGTCCCTTAATCGATTTTCTTTCATTTAACCTTCACAACCTTCACATATGTTTGTAACAGGCAAAAGGAAACGAGATAGACACAAGGTTCCTTTTGAGAATATGCATAGAATCACTTTTTAAATCGATTTATGCATGTCCGTCCGTCTGTCTGTCCATGTTAAATTGTAAACCAGTAAGGAAAGCAGTAAATTCGGACGGGGCCGACTATATGATACCCTTCACCACTATGAGTATATTAAACAGGACCATAAGCATGAAACTGGATGAAATGAAATATGTGATATTTATCTAAATGTGAATCTATCTAGATCTATCCATAAAGTATGTAAATCGACTTCAAACAAATATAAATAGGTCATCCGTTGGGCTATGTCTGTACTTCTAGAAAACGCAACTATATGAAATTTGGCAGACATCATTCTAGGCTCAATTCAGTACGTTATGCCAAATTTCGTGCAAATCGAAAGATATATAGGGACTTTGGGGCACTATATACATGAAATCGGACGAAATTATATATGGGAGCTATATCTAAATCTGGACCGATTTTCTCGAAACTTGGCACACATCACTCTAGGCTTAATTCAGTACGTTATGCCAAATTTCGTGCAAATCAAAAGATATATAGGGACTTTGGGGCACCATTTACATGAAATCGGACGAAACTATATATGGGAGCTATATCTAAACCTGAACCGATTTTCTCGAAACTTGGCAGACATCATTCTAGGCCCAATTAAGTAAGTTATGCCAAATTTGGTGCAAATCGAAAGATATATAGGGACTTTGGGGCACCATTTACATGAAATCGGACGAAACTATATATGGAAGCTATATCTAAATCTGAACCGATTTTCTCGAAACTTGGCAGATATCACTCTAGGCTTAATTCAGTACGTTATGCCAAATTTCGTGCAAATCAAAAGATATATAGGGACTTTGGGGCACCATTTACATGAAATCGGACGAAACTATATATGGGAGCTATATCTAAATCTGGACCGATTTTCTCGAAAGTTGGCAAACATCATTCTAGGCTCAATTCAGTACGTTATGCCAAATTCCGTGCAAATCGAAAGATATATAGGGACTTTGGGGCACCATTTAAATGAAATCGGACGAAACTATATATGGGAGCTATATATAAATCTGGACCGATTTTCTCGAAACTTGGCAGGCATCATTCTAGACCTAAATGATTAGGCTGTACCAAATTTCGTGCAAATCGAAAGATATATAGGGATCGTTTACATAAAATCGGTTAAATATATATATGGGAGCTATATCTAAATCTGAACCGATTTTTCCCAATTTCAATAGGGTTTGTCCTTGGGCCGAATAAGTGAACTATGCCAAATTTCATCCAATTCGGATCATAAATGCGACCTGTACTTTGTTTACAATTTAACATGGACAGACAGACGGACGGACATGCATAAATCGACGTAGAAAGTGATTCTATGCATATTCTCAAAAGGAACCATGGGTCCATCTCGATTATATTTGCCTGTTACAAACATATGCACAAAGACATAATACCCTGTACCACAGTGTGGTGAAGGGTATAACAAAGTACAGGTCGCATTTATGATCCGAATTGCATGAAATTTGGCATAGGTCACTTATTTGGCCCATGGACGAATCCTATTGAAATTGGGAAAAATCGGTTCAGATTTAGATATAGCTCCCATATACATTTACGTCCGATTTAATGTAAATGGTGTACCAAAATCCCTATACATCTTTCGATTTGCACGAAATTTTGCACAGCGTACTGAATTAGGTCTAGAGTGATGTGTGCAAAGTTTCGTGAAAATCGGTTTCGATTTAGATATAGCTCCCATATATATTTTCGTCCGATTTAAGGTGAATGGTGTACCAAAGTCGATATATATCTTTCGATTTGGACGAAATTTGGCATAGCGTATATATATATAATTCGATTTGCACGAAATTTGACACAGCGTAAAGAATTAGGTCTAGAATGATGTGTGTTAGGTTTCCAGGAAATCAGTCCAGATTTAGATATAGCTCCTATATATATTTTGTCCGATTTAATGTAAATGGTGTACCAAAGTCCCTATATATAATTCGACTTGCACAAAATTTGGCATAGCGTAATGAATTATGTCTAGAATGATGTGTGAAAAGTTTCCTGAAAATCGGTCCAGATTTAGATATAGCTCTCATATATATTTTCGTCGGATTTTATGTAAATGTTTTACCAAAGTCCCTATATATCTTTCGATTTGCACGAAATTTGACACAGCGTAATGAATTAGGTCTAGAATGAGGTGTGTTAAGTTTCCTGAAAATCGGTCCAGATATAGATATAGCTCACATATATATTTTCGTCCGATAGATAAATGGTTCATCCAAGACCCCAAGGTAGGCCGATTGACAAAAAATTTGGCACAACGTACTGAAGTTAATATAACCTAGCTTGAAGCAACCCTGTATCTGACCAAATGAAAAATTTATTATACGTTGCAGGATGACATGTTAATGGATCCACTTTCATGTTAATGGTCCTTCAAAAATTCGACGTCTGTTAGGATTCATATGTTGAATATACCCACAGTGGTGAAGGGTATCATATAGACGGCCCGTCCGACTTTACTACTTTCCTTACTGGTTTAAAGTTGTCCTCGGAATTACAGGTTTCACATATTGCTGATGGAGCCGCTTTCTTTCTCTCCAGTGTAGCTTTACAAAAAGCTTGATTTGTCAGGATTCTATTGATTTGTTTTATTTCGCTTGGGTTGGCTGAGGATTTATGGAACCATGGCCGCTTACGGCGTCAGGAAAGATCGCAAAGAAGTGAGAGGAACTGGACATGCCACGATCTTTATATTCTAAAGAACACGCAGACCAGAGAGCCTGTGAAATCTGGGCAACTTCGTCGGAAATAGTGTTCCAAGTTCTTCGGATCTTTTTGGCGCTTGGTCTGTTATTTAATTTAAAGCTATACCCGCATGACCCGGTATATTGTGCAGTTCAACCTCATCATTCAAATCATTAGACAACCGTATTAATTTTTCAATCAAAAAATTACCTTTTACATTATATTTTATTGCTAGAAATCCGCTTAGACTATCTGTTAGCATTGAAATTTTCGAGATATTATTATTATGTTTGTAGTCTTTGTTAAGTTTTGTTTTGCCAAGTTCTATTAATAAGGTCATCCAGCAAGAGAGAGTCAGCTGTTTTTTCTCAAGCCTAAATTCAAGTGAATGGGTAGTCCATTTAGCGCAGCTGATGTCTTGATTAACTGTCAAAGTGGGTAATTTCTACTTGAATTCGATGTGCAGTGTTGCCAACCATTTGAAATATTATTTGACAGATAATCGAGACAAACCAAAGGTTTTTGTTTTTATATATCACCTTATTATTGCATCATGTACCCGACTATCTGTCAAATTTTATCTTCAAATATTGCACATGGTTGGCAACATTACACATCGAATTCAAGTAGAAACTATGCACTTTGACAGTTAATCGAATCGTCAGCTACGCAAAATGGACTACCTATATTTTGTGCCATTCTCTGTTCCAGAACCTATAAGAATATTCTATTTATCGAAATTGTTATCGATTTCCCTATATAATTTTGAAATGTTTCAACACTTTTCGAGTACCGGAAAAGACCACAAATGAACACGGTGAAAGTGATGCCAGCCATTTCGAAAGTTAAGCTTTTTGAAGAACCTGTAAAAATATTCTATTAATCGAAATTGTTATCGATTTCCCTATATAATTTAGAAATGTTTCAACACTTTTCGAGTACCGGAAAAGACCATAAATAAACACGGTGAAAGTGATGCCAGCCATTTCGAAAGTTAAGCTTTTTGAAGAACCTGTAAAAATATTCTATTAATCGAAATTGTTATCGATTTCCCTATATAATTTAGAAATGTTTCAACACTTTTCGAGTACCGGAAAAGACCACAAATAAACACGGTGAAAGTGATGCCAGCCATTTCGAAAGTTAAGCTTTTTGCCAACACAAAACTTAGAACCAACATGGAATTATATTTGTCCTTACGGAAATACATCTTTGATTCAAAAGACTTGCTGAATAGATAATAAAAGCGGAAAAGGATTACATTATTTAACCCAAAAAGGGTAAGCCAAGCCTATCCTTCCACTGAAGAAAACAATCTCTTTTTAAATCCAATTACTTCAATTCTTTTTATTTGAACATTTCCCTAGAGTTACGTAGTTGCGGGAAAAACTACTTGACATGGACAATTCCGCAAAAGGAACGATCGGTACTAGGCCCGGTTATTTCATTCATCTAGTTCTACCTAGTTATTTTCAATCCCATGCCAATCCATCCATCACTGAAAAAAATCATTCTTATCGGTTTCATATGCAACTCTTTTTAAATCTAGTGAAATCCCTAGTGTTACTTCGGTCCGGAAAGAATTATTTCGCAAAAGCAACGATCGATACTAGATCTGGTTATTTCGTTCATTTATATCTTCTTGTTCATTGAACGATTTCACTGACATGCACTAATAAACGATTGAACTAAATTAATGATCTAGTTCCTTTTGTAAAATGAACCGAAAAAGGTCGAACCGCTTCAGGAACGAAATTGAGAATGAAGAAATGTTGAACTCAAGAAATCCCTGCTCCAACTCTTCATCCTTCAACTGAAGAATTAACTAATGAATGATCTAGTTCCTTTTGTGAAAGGAACCGAAGAAGATCTAACCACTTCAGGAACGAGATTGAGAATGCAGAAATACTTCCTCTTCTGTTGACGAAAATCGTTGACCACTTTTATAATAAAAATAAGTCATCGGGAGTCAGGTATAATTGGTTAATGTAGTTCACGAAGAGGATCAATCTTTCTCGTTCATTTTTTAAAAGGAACTAGTTCCTTAATATAGTTTGGACGAATGAACAAATAAAGAATATGGGAATAAAGGAACGAGATCAGTAAAAGGACCGGAATGAAATAAAGCAACGAGATCAGAAAAAGGAACTAAAGAGCTGGATCTTTGACAAAATAGTTCCAATGAACTCGTTCATTCCGGAACTACCCAATCTAATATAATCGAGTCCAGTTCGTCTTCGGACGGCTCACAAGAAAGACGCATTTAATGAGTTAATCACGCCATAAAAAATTACAAAATGACGCTGTGTTAAGTGTTCGCTTAAGGGAACCCCCCTTAAGCCCTTTAAATGGGCTGGTAAATGAAAACCAATGCTTGTTAAGGTTTGTAACTTGGCACATATATATTTGAAGATTTAAAAAGGAAGAAAAATAATTTACCAAAATTTGTTGTCGTTGTTGTTTTTTGTGTTCAAAGATAAGTCCATATTTTCGATGGCGGCCATTATAACTTCTTACGGGAACATCGGAATCCGAAAATTCAAACGGCGTTAGAAAGAGGACATGCCTGGCTCTCGTATGAGCTAGGATTATTGACTTCGCACAACAATTAACAAAATGGCGGAACTTTGAATTTTTTTTGGAAAATCGCCTATTTTTTACCACAAACTATGTTAAAAAATAAGGAAGATCTTCACCGACTGGCTTTATCCTAGTTCATACGAGAGCTACACACTCCCAGAGAAACGTGTCAAAATTTGAAACCGATTGGATTATTAGTTTTTGAGTTATCGTGCCCGCCATTCGTTTTGAGAAAAACGCGTTTAAAGTTTGAGAAGCCCTTTAGCCGTCATTTGATGCTGGCACAATAAATCGGCTATATCTTCAAGAGTTCTTGAGATTTTCACTTGAAATTTTGTGGGAACATTCTAGAATTAGAGTAGATTCGAATTAAATCAAAAATTTTTTTGACACCGAGAAGTGTTCGCCTAACTTGCCACGTGTTTTATCGAACTAAACGAAAAATATTAAGAAAATCTCGTTCATATGGTGTATGGTCCTATACCTTCTATTCTAATAGAAAGTGGACTAGCTGGAGGATGGCCTGTCTCCAGTTTTTAAAGAACCAATAATATATCGAGTTCCTAATCTCATCGTTCACTGGTCGATTTCGTTGGACTAAAAGGAACTTTGGAACTAATTGAATGATCTGGAAGAGAACCGAACAAGATTGAAACGCGTTATTGACAGGATTGTTTAACTCTACAAATCCCCTCTCCATCTCTCCCTCTTAAGATTTGGATTTTTGAAATATACTACAGATATTATATATCAATCCAATAATGAAAATGCGAATGGTTTCATTAATTTCCGAAGTATTCTCTACCATGATTTATAAATTGTTTTATGAGTTTAAATCAATTGTGAAAGAATTTTTCCACTCCGATTGTTCGTTTTTCGAATTTCCCCTATGATTTAAGGCAAAAGACCTCGAAAGGCACTTCTTTCGTAAACAAAAGACACTTGAAGGCTTTTATCGTCGAAAAAAGGCCTGTAATGGCCTCTAAAGTATTCAGTGTGAATGCTTTCAAGATATTTCCTTAAAAATAACATTTATTTTATCCTATTTAGATAACCGCTGCGAATCGTTCCGATTGTGAAGATAAATGTCTCAATGAATTCTCCTTCGTTTGTCGTTCGGCAAATTTTGATTCCACCATGAGGTCATGTACACTCAGTAGGTAAGTTATTATCAAAAGACCCCTTTGCATTTTTTTTATTTAAAATCCGATCATTTTCTTTTTAGATTCACCCGTCGCACCCATCCCGAACTATTGGAAGATGATCCCAATTCAGATTATTTGGAAAATACATGCCTCAACGCCGAACGTCGTTGTGATGGCTTGGCTGTATTCGTCAAGGAGGAAAATAAACGTTTGGGTGGACCATTCGAAGTGGATATTTTTAATAATATGACCTTGGAGGAGTGTCAAACTATGTGTTTGAGAGCTGAAAAGTAAGTCAAAGGAGAATGTACAATTTAAGGAGAAAAATATTTTTTAATTATTATATTTATTTTTTTTTAATTGCAGATACTTTTGCCGTTCCGTGGAATTTGATGATCAAACCAAACAATGTATTCTATCGGAAGAGGATTCCATATCGCAAAAAGATGACATCAGCATAAGTTCAAGTCCCACACATCATTTTTATGATTTAGTTTGTCTGGATAATCGTAAGTAAAGAAATGCAAACTCCCTTTAATATTTATATAAAAGGTATACAGAAGAACTTGTATAAAGTCTAGTGGATCCTTAACTAATTTTTACAAAGTAATGTGACCTAAACCTATTCAAAAAAGTTATATTCATTTGCCTTTGCCTAAAAATTTGATTTTTTGTATGAGTTGTTTTTGGGCAATTTGGGTTTTGTGATAATATACCAAGTATTTATGAAGAAATAAACAAAAGTACTTCGACTTTTTGAAGAAAATACAAAAAGTCGATTAAAAGTGGCTTAACGATTTCCTCAAAAAAAGTCGACCACAGCTTCAATCGAAAAGATACTTAAATTTGTTAAAGGTGTAGTCGAGGAATTAACGTTGATCCATCGTCAAAAGACGGTTTAAAGGCTCATATCGTCGAAGAGAGGCTTTGATGATGTGACTCCTGATCTCATCACGAAGTGTGACGGGAGAAACTATGGGGAAATACGAACGTTGTTGATGCTTCCGTGTTTCGAGGTGAACTCATTTTATTCAAAATATCTTCTTAACTCTAAACCTACATATTAATACATAAAACTAAACATGCATTTGAAATACATACATTGGACATGGAAATAGATTTGGCTTAGGACACATTAGTGATCTTTATTTATGACAAGGAATAGTCTAAAATGTATACTTATGATTTCCTTAATTGACACGCAGTGTTTGCGGCAACACAACGCACTGCTTAACTAAAGCGCGCACACACTGTGTGAAGATCATAAATCACATATTTTATAATCCACATTAAAATATAAATTTTTAGAACACAAATATTTTCATTACCCTACTTGACTTCAAAGAATACCTTTAAAGACTTCTGTCATCGATAAAAGGCCTTTAGAGACTTCTATCGTCGGAAAAACGCATCTATAGTCGAAAGAGACCTTGAGAAGTTTCTGTCGTCGAAAGAAGACATATAAAGGCTTCTACCGTCGATTCAATCGTCAAAAAAGGCTTCTATCATCGAAAAAAAACCTATGGAGGGTATAGTAAAAAACACAAAAAATGATTTTAAAGGCTTCTGTCACCGAAAAATGCCTTAAAAGTATTCTACCGTCGAAAAAAAACGATCATTAAAGGCTTCTATCATCGAAAAAGGCCTTTAAAGATTTCTATCGTCAAAAAGGGCCTTAAAAAGCGTCTATCGTTGATGAAAAGCATTGAGGCTTCTATCGTCGCAAAAAAGGCCTTGAAAGGCTTCTATCGTGGAAAAAAGACATCTATCGTCGAATACAGGCTATTCTTCTATCATCGGAAAAAGGCCTTTAGAAACTTCTATCGTGGAAAAAAAGACTTATGTCCTCAAAAAATGCTTTTAAAGGCTTCTATCGTCGGAAAAAAATCTTTTAAAAGCTTCTATAGTCCAAAAAACGAAAAACTTATTAGCCTCGCAGATTTCAAAAAGTTACCGTTAGCATTCAGTGGTACTCCCCTAGGCAGGCAAATACAATGGAGGCATTTGCCTGTCCCTTCTTCAGTTTTGCGTGGTTTCCGATATATCATTGGACAATGCGAACCAAAAAAAGCCTCAATTCCAAAATGTTTGAAGATGTGGAGAAGGTCACCTTCAGATCGCCACTCATATGTGGAATTTAGAAAGAAGAGGTCGCAACTAAATCTATATCCACACTTTTCACCTCATCGACATCTGGAAATAAGCTTCTATTACGAATACTGGTCCTAGATTTCAAATTCCGACACCCTAAGATATTTAGATGTAAGTCATTTCTGGCAACGATTTACGATGAAATGTAGAAACTTATTCAAGTCAATTGTTGTAGCGGTAGAGAGCATAAAATCCGTTCATTCTGATATGTTTTCGATACGTATACTGGTCCTAGATTTGAAATGTAGAAACAAGATGTCAGAAATTGGTAGAAACAAGATTCAGAAATTGTTGGTTAAGCGGTAGAGAGACCATAAAATACGTTCATTCGTACAACAATATGTTTTCGGTACTGAACCTGGTTGAATGCTATCGTGCGTTTCCAGGTCTATGTAATATAGGAAGAGACAGGAACAAGTGTCAGGCCTTTCATATGTTGAAAATTCTACTTTCTGGCACTAAATCTACAGCCCTGTTCACATGAACGGTTAAAATAAGGCTCTGGATCATAGAGATCAAATTCGGACCATCCTAGAAATTTCAAGTTATCTGAGCACGTTACGGATATCTGTCATAAGTTTAGAAGTATGATACAGGGAGCAGAGAGAACATGTTGAGTTTTAGATATCAATTCCGACCGTCCTATGATTTTCAAGTTATCTGAGCACGTCACTGATATCTGCCATAAGTTTAGAAGCATGAATCAGGTAGCAGAGAGAAGATCTTGACCTCTTATAGGCCGATTAATGGTATGATATGTGAGGTCAGTCAAAAAGCGAATGTAAATAATACCCAGTGAAGGAATATTCAGACCTTTTAAAATACTGTCCCGGGTGTGCCTTTATGATACCAGTGGACCATTTAATGAGAAGGTGAATATAGTAACCGTACATCAACACAACAAAAAGTTTTCGGTGCAGGACTTGAAAATTCATAAACATTTTTTCTGTGTCTGTCTGTGCCCTTAGAATGCGTACATGTCAGCAGAATAACACCAGATATAAAAGTATTGCCCACATAAAATCAGGATAGTTACCTCAATTATTACTGTTTACGAATTTATGGCACGACACATAAAGCATTTCATCATGACACGACTGTGTTTTGTTTTGCTATCGTCCTCCGTATCTTCCCTCATTCGTTGGCTGTTAGTTTTGCAACCGATTATTTGTCTGCTGTTTATCTTGTTTACAACCGTCGTCTCTCCACTCACACGATTGTGGCTAGTTTTGCAATCCATTGTTTGACACTGTTACCAACCTCTGCATTAGTGTTATAAAATTCGCATGTGTATTTTCCAAATTATTTCGATATACTAAATGCCAAAACGATATAATAAATAAGTGTTAAGACGAGCAACAAACCCAACCGAAAGATTAACATTGTATAGAATGAAGTAAGTTAGAAAAATTGAGACAAAATAGAAAACATTATATGTCAAATAGTTCTATGCCACCAAACACAAGTCCAAAGTTGTTTTTTCGCTCTCTTTCTCTCCCTCTCTCTGATAACTGCATTCAAAAAATCCAGAAATCCGAATATTGGAAACACTTTCTTTTCTGTCTACCATTTTGTTACATCGACAATGCTTTTAGTTTTATTTAAAGAATTTTGAAATTAAAGATCATAAAAAAGATCATAACCTCAATTATCCAATCTTAAAATTTTGTATTGCCTTGTCTTACCTTATTTTCCATATTTAGAACGCGCCACCGATTACCCCGACAATTCCGTGACATCACATCTCTTTTCGGGTGGACGACGACCGGATACAGCTTTTCAACGTTATCGCAATTCACGTCTGGGTGGAGAATTTCATTCGGAGATAACTGGTAGATCGTTGAGTGAATGTCTGGATGAGTGTCTAAGACAAACAAGTTTCCAATGCAGGTGAGACACTTTGCTTATTATTAGCATTTAATGGAAGCCAAATTATTACTATTGTGGCCTGGTTTGTTTGGTTTTTTAGATCTGCCGTCTACAGTGATCGTTTTCGTACATGTCGCCTAAGTCGTTACAATCAAAAGGATGGCATGCGAATTATTTATGATGCCGATTATGATTATTATGAGAATTTAATGCGTAAGTTGTTGTTGGTGATGAGGTCCGGACCATTAAATATTTCTATTTCAAACTCTTTCCGTGTCTTTTCTAATTTTTAGTTAATGTGGTTGGTGGTAGTGGTGATAGTGATGGCCATTCAGGTGCTGGTGGCTCAGGGGCTGGAAGCCACAGACCGTCAGATCGACCTGGAGTTGATAACCCCTGGCGCAATCCCAGCAAAGATGATGACCGTTATGGCAGTGGTAATCGTTATGGACAGGGCAGTGGTACAGGTGTTGGCGGTGGCAGTAGATTGCCTGGAGATTCAGCTGGTGGGGATTATGGCCGTCCACCCTATGATCGTTATCCTGGAGAACCAGGCGGCCTAGATTATGGTAATTATTGTTGTTCGTTGTTATTTCGATTTCGTTTTGCTAATACAACTAATTTTTTTCAAAACACCGAATTTGAAACCAAAAAATGATTTCTCACAATAAAAATGCAACCTAACCTCACTAAAATAAAATAATAACAAAACAATGTTAACTCACTAACCCTGCAGACCGTTATCCGGGTTCAAGACCTGGTGCTAGTGGTCCAGGTGGAGTTAGACCTGGTGGTGCAGGGGGCCGTTTCCCCGATGATTATGATGATCGCGATCGCCACAGAGATCGCGACCGTTATCCAAGTGGTGGTCCTGCCAGTGGTTATTACGACGATGATCGTTATCCCTTGGATGCTGATCGTAATCGTTTGCCTGGAGATCGTGATCGTTTGCCAGGAGATCGGGATCGTATACCACCTTTGGATCGAGATCGTTTGCCAGGAGATCGGGATCGTATACCACCTCTGGATCGGGATCGTTTGCCTGGAGATAGGGATCGTATACCACCGCTGGATCGTGATCGCTTACCGCTAGATCGTGATCGCAATCGTTTGCCAGGTGATCGTTATCCAGATGATCCCGAACGTTACCCCGAAGATCGTGATCGTGGTCGAGATCCCTATGCCCCTGCCAATCGTGACCGTTATCCTGGTGATCGTGATCGGTATCCCCTAACCGACCGAGATAGACCCTATATGAATCGTTATCCCGGCCCACCTGGACGTTATCCTTATGATGAACAGTTGCCACCACCCAAGGACAGATATGCTGGCCGTTACCCAGAATCAGATCGTTATGGTGATCGTTATCCCGATTCGGATAGATATATACCCAGAGATCGTTATACACCCATACGCCGGCCATTGGGTGGACGTTATCCACTGATCGAGGATAATACCCTGCCACCAGATATGCCACATACCCGACCATATCCACCCGATGATGATGTACCCTATAGACCCTATTTACCAGGACATCGTTATCCTGAAGATCGTTATGCTGGTCGGTATCCTTCACGGTATCCCAATATGAGAGAACCCATTGGTGGCTATACCGGACGTGATGATCCTGAAGGTATTTTCCCTGATCGTCGTTTTAGACCTTCATCATATGATTCACGTTATCCTGATGATTTGCGTCCTGGCTCGGGAGGCAGGTATGGACCAGATGCCCGTTATCCTGGAGATGATATAGTACATGGAGCTCGTCGACCCGAACCTGATTCAGCAAAACGTTATCCACCAGCACCAATAGTACCTCCCGTGGGAGGTGGTAAATATCCACCTCCTCCTACCTCACCCAATCGTTTTCCGGTAGGTAATGACCGTTATCCCATAGATATTTACAAATATGGCAATCGTTATGAAGGCAGTGCGGCGGCGGGAGGCTTTAGAGCAGGTAAGGCGGGGGGTAGTGTTATACTAAACCATTAATAAACTAATATAACTCATCTCCGATCATGAAGAGGGGGTAGATTTCACGAAATTAAATTTTGTACGATTTTTAATAGGTTACAATCGCCCACCTCCTCCTCCACCATATTACGATATGGACTATGAGGAACGTTATGGTGATCGCTTTGGTCCCTATGATCGCGATTTTGATAGACCAGCTGGCCGTCGTCCCATAGCAAATTCTGGAGGTTATACCTATGATATGCCCTATAATCGCCCCTACCATGGACCCGGTGGAGCTGGAGGTCCTGGTAGTGGTTCGCTGACACCTTTACCCAATGATCATCCAATACCGGGAGCTTTGCCACCACCCTTGGCACCAGCATCATATGGTGGTGGTGGACCGGGAGGTCCTGGCGGTCCGGCCGGCATTCCCAGACCACCAATAACACGCTGTGAGGAAAGTGATAATTTTAAGCAAGTAGCAGCACGCCACAAAATGAGAAGACATTTCATACGTCGCGCAATAATTGTACCCTCGCTGATACAGTGTGAGCGGGAATGTGTGGAGACTAGGGATTTCATATGTCGTAGTTTCAATTATCGGTGAGTAGGGATGGAATTTCGGGGGGATTTTTAAAACTGGAATTGAATATTTTTGTTGTAGCGACACCGCGGTAAGCAATTACGATGAGCGTGACATACCCAATTGCGAGCTGAGTGATCGTGATTCTCGTGAGTTGGATGTACACGATCCCAGCTTATTCGATGCAGCCAATTACGATTTCTATGAGAGAAGCAGTGCCGGCAGAAGTGATGGAGAGTGTATGGACGGTAGGTCAACTCAGGTTGTCTGATATAAACATTTTATTTGAGTTATGAATTTCCTCTTGTAGTTACCCAAACATGCAATGAAGAGGGCATGGAATTCACCATTCGAACACCTGAAGGTTTTGTGGGACGCATTTATACCTATGGCTATTATGATCGGTAGGCTCAATGGGGATTTTCCATTTGATTTGATAACTAATACTTTCCATCACTTTTTTTTCCTATTATCATTTTCCTTTTTGTCATTACAGCTGCTTCTTCCGTGGCAATGGTGGCACAGTGAATGTCCTACGCATCAGCGGTCCTCAGGGTTATCCCGACTGTGGCACCCAACGTTATGGTGACACTCTAACCAACATCGTTGTTGTCCAATTCTCCGATAATGTCCAGACCAGTCGTGACAAACGTTATAATTTAACTTGTGTCTTCCGTGGTCCTGGTGAGGCTGTTGTCACCTCAGGTTATATTGGAGCTGGGTATGTTAATGGTTTGGCAAAATGTGTAGAACTTTGTTGAAGAAGAAGAATTTGTTTTTGGTTATATATTTTTGCATGAAAATAAAATAGTATTTTTGTGTTGTTATTATGAGAGAAAGGTATATCTAGGAAAAGAGGAAGAAGAAGCATGAAATCCTGCGTTGATCAATACAAACAGCTTAATAACTTACAAGCGTGGGAAGTTCTACCTATCCTCAAATACAAATACTGCCCCATTTAAGTGATTCAGCCGAATATTCCAATCTAAAAGGCTGTAATACGGCATTCCTGATTTTTAGAGGGTAAAAACATCTCTAGAGAACATTTTTAATATAGGCACATTTTTTACATTGCCCGAAGATCCTGTCCAATTTTAGGGCAAAATAATTACAATCTGGTATTCCGAGTTCCATGTACATACACCTTTATAGCCTCCATATAAAGGTGTATAGAAAACTCCAAGCAGATAAAAAACTAATAAACGGTTCCTGGTCGATTTGACGTATTTTGTAAATCCATATCATGTCAAAGTGAAACGCCACACAATAGATATGGTAATTTTTGGTCGGAATTCTACTCTATATCGAATTAATCAAATCTGTATGTCCGTCTGTTGGTCTTTGAAATCCGAGTACCAATATTTGAAGATAGAGCTATGAAAGCTTGTGCTTTCTTTCATACTACTCCTAGTATATTTGATATTGAAATCCGTTATAACCGGTCCTTATTTCGGTCTAGCCCCCAATGGTCAATGACATTATTGTAGCATACCAATCCGGCATCAGACCTGGCAAATCCACCATAGACCAGATTTTCACTCTGCGCCAATTACTGAAAAAGAACCATGAAAAACACATCGACATATTCCACTTATTCGTCGACTATAAGGTCGTATACGGCTATGCAGGATAACTTCAATTGGCACAAGGTCAGTAGTCGGAAAGGATATCTCGGAGCCCTTCAATACCGAGGATACAGACAAGGTGACAGTTTGTCGTGTGACCTGTTTAACATTCTGCTATAAAAGGTCATACTAGATGCAAATGTGAAAAGAAATGGCGAATGGACAAGGGTGTCCCAGCTCAAAAGGATGTTCCAGCTTAAAAGTGGAAGGCCTTGAATTCGATGAAAAAAATCAAGTGGAGGATGACATATCAAAGCATGGTATTTGAAATTAGAAAACTATCCACGAGACCAACGCGATTGGAACAAATGTATGGATCAAATGTTCTGTCTCGAGCCAGTTAAGGAAGTTCTGTTCGAATTATTTCAAACGATTTGGCTATAATTCGCCATTCCAAGTTGCTGGAGGATAAAAAACATGCACGGGGTTGCATAATCCTTTGCGCTATCCCAGTAAATATGATGACTGTAATGGCAGTGCCAACCTTTATGGATCGGACTGGGGCACAATTTTTCGCGGTGGTAGATTGCCTATTGATTCAATGTTGAGGATTATGGACATCCACCCCATGATCGCTATCCAGGTGAACCAGAATTTTTTTATTCGCATTTTGCAAGCGAATGGATTGACATTTAACATGCCGGTTTATTAAAGAGGTGAAGAATATATTTGCAATATCCAGAGGCTGTATTTGGATACTCCAGGGACTTAAATTGTGAAATTTTCCGCAAAAGTTTAGTGTAGGTCCATGTTGTCTTTTTGGCGTGAACTTACAAGTGTTCTGCCCCATTTTCTATTTTTTTAAGGTTCTAAATGATTTTTCAAACAAATAAATTAGCATTCCGCTTTTTTGCTGGGTACAAAAATACTTCCCACATTATCGATATGTTGAAGATCCTAGCCGAATTTCTCAACCTAAGTATCCTTCATTTACTTGCATCTCTATGGAGGTCCTAATCGATTTTATATGTTTTAAATTGCCATGTCATTGTGGAGAAAAATTCTCATATCCATATATGGATATAGGCCCCATGCCCCGTCCCATTTTTGATATTTTGGTGGTAATATTATCGAAATTTCCATACCTGATTGTCTATAATTTTGTTGCATCCATAAGAGGTCCCAAACGATTATGTATGTTTTGAATGACCACCTCATTTTGGAGGATTTAACAATTTCGGCAGAACTTATCGATGTTTTCCTTTGAAATCCAAGAAAAGGAAAGGGACCCTGATCAGCAGAATACGGTTATTGCGGAAACAGTTCAAAGCCCCATTTATTGATTTTCTCTATCGTTTCCCCTGCCATTGCAATGTCATGGTGAAGCAACGAAAAATTTCTACAAAAAAATTATGAAAGCCATGGGGCTCATATTTTTTCTATAGAAATAGGACCCTATAGAATAGGACCCTGATCATCAGAATACGGTTATTGCGGAAACAGTTCAAAGCCCCATTTATTGATTGAGCACGCCACAAAATGAGAAGAAATTTCATACGTCGCGCAATAATTGTACCCTCACTGATACAGTGTGAGCGGGAATGTGGGGAGACTAGGGATTTCATATGTCGTAGTTTCAATTATCGGTGAGTAGGGATGGAATTTCGGTGGGTTTTTTTAAACTGGTATTGAATATCTTTGTTGTAGCGACACCGCGGTAAGCAATTACGATGAGCGTGACATACCCAACTGCGAGCTGAGTGATCGTTATTCTCGTGAGTTGGATGTTCACGATCCCATTTATTGATTTTCTCTATCGTTTCCCCTGCCATTGCAATATCATGGGACTCAGGTTTTTTCAGTAGGAAAAATTGTCAGACCCTTGGGTCTCATATTTTTCCTATAGAAAAAATTGTGAGACCTCGGTAACTTACAGCCCATTTCGGCTGTTCCGTCCTTCAATAGGGCTATAGTCTTTATTTTTTAAAGGCACTCAATGAATGCATTTTCAGGCGCATTCAAAATACTCACTAAAGATGACCGTCTGGATTTCCATGCTAAATTAAGGAGCCATGTTCAATCCATTATCACACAAAGTCGTAAATAAATAATGGTCTGTGTTTTCAAGAAGTCTAGAGTTGCCACCAAAAAACCATCACGCCATAATTCTAAAACTTGGTCTATGTAGAATTTGTCCTTCTGGTTTCTTAATATACTCACCAATGGCTTTTATGCCCTTTAAGAATTTTCCACCCTCATTTGTATCACCCCTAGATTTTGTAACATAAAGAAAGTGGATTTCTGAAAAAACTTGTTTTAGTTATAATCTGATTATTATTCCAAACCATAGATCCTACCCCCCGAGACTCTGACTTATCAATATCCAACAAATATTTTCCTAAAATAACTAAAAAATTTTCCATTTATCGCAATTAAATGGACAAAACAAAAGCATTTAACAACCCTTCTCTCTGTGTAGCTGCAATGCCTTATTCTAAAGCATACTTTTTGGCGCTATGTACTAAATCAATTGCTTCCATTCTAGTTGAGCCAGCAACCTAGGCTTTAGCAAGTAGTTCTCTTTTCAAACGCTTTAAGTAGTCATTGTGTATTTTTAGAGTTGCCAACCTCTTTAATTTGAGTAAAAATATTTAAATTAATTTTGTAATTGAAATGAAATAATGCATGACAATTTTGAAAATCTGTTGATCTATTAAAAAACTAGAGAATTAATTTTAAGTAGATTATTAACTAATCCCCACGTATTTAGCTACCAGCAAAAGCAAACAAAATGCATTTTGAAATCATTTTTGTATCTTCGAGTGAAAACGATTTCAAAACGAAAACATTTTGTTGCAATTCCAAACAATACGATGTTGTATAAAGTCTTTCTGATCCCAACAGTTCCGGCAGTCCAATACCCATTGAATATTTACCAGCCGAAAATACGCTCAGTTCAAAGGTACGTTTGAGTATTTTGTATCAGGGTAGGCCGACAACAACAATAGCTGTGGGCGATCCGCTGACATTCCGTTTAGAGGCCTTGGATGGTTATAATCATGCCACAGATATATTTGCCACAAATGTTGTGGCTCGTGATCCATACTCGGGCAGGAGTATACAACTGATTGATCGATTTGGGTAAGTTTTACGATTGCTGAATTCTTTTTCGATGGAAATTCGAATATCGAATGACGCATTTTCATGGAACAAGAATTGATCCATAGGACGGGAATACAATTTAATATTTAAAACTTTAATTTCTGTGCTTCTCTTTAGCTGTCCTGTGGATCCTTATGTCTTCCCCGAATTGGATAAATTACGTGATGGCGACACCTTGGAAGCTCGCTTTAATGCCTTCAAAATTCCCGAATCAAATTTCTTGGTATTTGAGGCAACTGTACGTACTTGTCGTGATGGTTGTCAGCCGGCTTATTGTCCAGGACCAGCGGGTAGGCAAGAGCCATCATTTGGACGGAGGCGTAGATCTTTAAATGACACCGAAACATTAAGCGAGGAAATTGTCACAAGTACAGAAGATTCGTTGGAACCGGTGGCAGAACGTTTGGTTGATGAGCTAACGGAAGTGAATAGTACCACTGTGACCAGTACCCTGGGTGAGGGTAATAAAAGTGAGCTAAATCTTAACAGAGAAGAAAAGAAAATATAATTTTTCAATATTTTTCTAGATAATACGACAGAGGCAGAAAATGAAGAACCCGAACAAGTTAGGGAAATGATAGAGGTATATCCTACTCCTTCACTTTATCGATTATTTTTTTTATAATCTCTCCAATATTTATCTTATTTATTACCCTTGCAGGTCTTCGAAAGTCGTGAAGAAATCGAAAATGAATCTTACCCCCGAAAATTGGTGGCACCAGTGGAAACGGTTTGCCTTACACCATCCGAATATCACGGGTTAATTACGGCGATTATTTTACTCATGATTTTACTGTTGAGCATAACCCTAGTTTCCGGTCTGGCTTATCGTCGCTATTGGAAGACAATGTCAAAAAATCGTATTGCCGATCGTCATTCACCCATTCATTCGTTGGGCCACTCTTCATCGATACGCACTCATGAACGTTTCAGTGAAATCGGTCATATGCCAAATGGTTCGAGTAGTGGTGGCGGTTCGAATGTCACCACCGCCAATCGTTCTGCAAATGCCTTCCGTTCGAATGTCTCGATGTTTGGCGGTTCCCTGCACAAGACATTTGCCACTGGGTGGGTAATTATGGTTTGATATTATTTTATTAATATAAATTATTTGGGTATTAATACTTTGGGTATATTCAACAGATGAATCTTAACAGACGTCACATTTTTGAAGGATCAGTAAAATGAAATTGGACCCATAAACATATCTTCCTGCAACCTATACTAAATTTTTCATTTGGTCAGATATAGAGTTGCTTCTTACAATGGGACAAAACTATGTAAATCAATTTAAAACATATATCAGTCGGATACCCGTTGATTTTTTAGATACATATCTTATAAACATGAGGAGTTTGGTGCACCATTTACTTCAAATCGGACAAAATATTTATAAAAGCTATATCGAAATCTAAGCCGATTTCATCGAAACTTGTCACAGAATATCGGCCACATTTTGAGTTATTGATGCATCATTTAGATAAAATCGGGAAAAAATGTGGTAGCTCTATCCAAATTTCAACCGATTACTTAAAATCTGACGAAACTATATATAGGAACTATATCTAAATCTGAACTAAATTCAACAAAACTTGCCACACGTTATCTCATAATAACTTCTATAAGTGGTGCAAAATTCTGTGCCAATCGGACGCACCTGGGGAATTCGGTGCATCATTTATATATCTAACTTATAGGTTATACCAAGTTCATTACGAAAGATATATAGGGACTCTGGTGCACCAGTTACCTAAAATCGGACGAAAATATATATTGGATCTAAATCTTAACCGATTTTCACGAAACTTAACACACATTATTGTAGACTTTATTCAGTACGCTGTACTAAATTTCATGGAAATCGAAAGATATATAGGGACTTTGGTACACAATTTTCATTAAATCGGACGAAAATATATATATATATATATCTAAAACCGATTTTCAGGAAACTAAACACACGTCATTCTAGACCCAATTCATTATGCTGTGCCAAATTTCGTACAAATCAAAAGATATATAGGGACTCTGGTGCACCATTTACCTAAAATCGGAGGAAAATATATATGGGAGCTATATCTAAATCAGAACCGATTTTGACGAAACTTAACACACATCATTCTAAACTATGTTCAGTACGCTACACCAAATGCCAAATTTCGTACAAATCGAAAGATATTTAGGGACATTGGTGCACCATTTATCGGACGAAAATATATATGGGAGCTATATATAAATCTGAACCGATTTTCATGAAACTTAGCACACACCACACACCTTAATTCAATACTTTGTGCCAAATTTCGTGCAAATCGAAAGATATTTAGGGACTTTGGTGCACCATTTACCTTAAATCGGACGAAAATTTATATGGGAAAATATATCTGAACCGATTTTTCCCTTAAAAAGTGATTCTATGCATATTCTCAAAAGGAACCATGTGTCTATCTCGTTTCCTTTTGCATGTTACAAACATATGCACAAAGGCATAATACCCTGTACCACAGTGTGGTGAAGGGAATAATAATGACCACAGATGCTCCCCTCGTAGTGATAAACATTTTAAATTTCAGCAATTTTTTATTAGATACTCATTAACATATTTTGTTTTTTTTTCTCCTTTCAGAAATTTAGCACGAATGTGTCAGCTGCCCGTAATAAATCCAATGCGTAATGCCAATTTAGGACCCAATCAATTCGAGGATCCCAGTGAACCCATTTATACCGATCCATCGCTATTCGAACGTTCCAGGTTTGTATTCCATAGCACAGCAGCAACAACAACAGCGGCACAAATCAATGCAACAAATACACAACAACAACAACAACAAGAAAATGCTCAGCTAAATAAGCGAATAGATTTAGCTTAGAAAATATAAACGATAGGACAAACGAAGTAAGCCAAACCAAAAATAAAAATCGGAGAGAGGAGTAAAAACCACAAAGAAAAAAACACAAAACCAAAACAATACAAAAATATGTATGAATGAAAGAAAGTGAACACCAAAGAAAAAAGGTCAGATTTCACAAAAAAAAAAATTAATTATTTATTTATTTTGAAATTAATAACAATAACAAAACACACATATACATATACATATAGATTGATACACTGACAAATATACTAACACCAGACAATGAGTAGTGCATATAACATTACGCTTCTAATTTAATCGCCTTGGCATGCAGGTTTTTATTTTCTTTCTGAATGACTGACTGACTGTCTGTCTGTCATTCCTATAATGGACGACAATTGCACATTCTCCTTTTGTCACAGCGACCATCACGTCCACCCAATAGTTGACATTCAAGCGTACACCAATCTGCGCCTTTTTGTTCGCATAAATTGGGCAATACCAGTTGTGTCATAACTATGTGAAACATTTTGCAGAGTCAGGCCCAAGGTGAGGTCGGGTGCAGAGAAAAAAAGAAGGAAAAAAAGCATACGTCAATTATAACCTTGAAAATACATTTTATTGTTGTTTTTGTTTTTTTTAAGAAATTCCAAAATTATGAAATAATGCCATGGAAATTTCTGTTATTTTCTTTGTTTTCCATTTCAACTCACCCCCACCATAACCATCACGAGCCGGACCGGCGATATTGTGCAATTGAAAATTAGCTAACAAACTAATTATGATCAGTAGCTTGGTGAATAATTGCATGATTTTTTTTTAGTTTTTTTTTTTATTATTATTTTTTTTTTTTCTTTTTGGAATTTGTTGTATAAAATAACGTATGGAATTCAAAGAACCAAATCGAACGCGTTGTGGTATTGAAATAAATATAATCGTACATTTCTCAGCTCAATTTGTTCATCTTCGTCGTTATCTGTATTGATTATGACTAATGTGAGAATATCAAATGCATGGCACAGTGGGGGACTTTTATTTACAAGAAAGTCGTAATGTTTTTCAACCAAATGAACTGGAATTTTATATTTCGGATTCTCATTGATAAAATATTTTTTTTGACAATTTAAATCAGATTGTTTTTATACCCTCCACCATAGTATGGAGGGTGTATATTAGTTTTGTCATTCCGTTTGTAACTCATCGAAATATTCATTTCCGACACTATATAAAAAAAAATATATATATATATATATATATATATTCTTGATTAGGGTAAAATTCTAAGACGATCTAGCCATGTCCGTCTGTCTGTCCGTCAGTCTGTTGTAATCACGCTTTCTTCTGCAGGAATTGAGATAGATCGCCACAATGTTGCACAGAGTCGTTTTTTGTCTGCAGGCAGGTAAAGTTCGAAGATGGGCCATATCGGTCCACGGTTAGGCATAGCCTCCATATAAGGGTACCGCCCAATTTTCGATACTTTTTGGTTCTTGAGCGCGCTTTTCAACCGAATTCGCTGAAATCTGGTACATTGGGTTATTTTGGGGCATCAAATGTCTCCACTAGAAATTATAAATATCGGTCCATTTTTGGTTAGCCCTAATTTTCGATATTTTTGGATTCCTTAGTGTCTTCCGTCTTTTGTCTGAAGGCAGGTAAAGTTCGAAGATGGGCTATATCGGTCCACGGTTAGGCATAGCCCCCATATAAGAGTACCGCCCAATTTTCGATCCTTTTTGGTTCTTGAGCGCGCTTTTCAACCGAGTTTGCTGAAATTTGGTACATTGGGTTCTTTTTGGGCCTCAAATGTCTCCACTAGAAATTATAAATATCGGTCCATTATTGGGTAGCCCCAATTTTCGGTATTTTTGGATTCATTAGCGCGTTTTTTCAACCAAATTCTCTGAAATTTGGTACATTAGGTTGTTTATGGGTGCCAAATGTATCCATTACAAATTATAAATATCGGTGCACTTTTTCTGGTAGCCTCCATATAACGGTACCCCCCGCCCCAATTTACGGTATTCTGTGGGGTTTAAGCGTATTTTTAAACCGAATTCGCTGAAATTTGGTGCAATGGGTTCTTATTGGGTACCAAATTTCTTCAGTAAAAATTATAAATATTGGCCCATTTTTTCGGGTAGCCAACATATAAGACACCCTCAATTTTCGGTATTTTAGGGTTCTTGAGCCAATTCGCTGTAATTTGGTATTTTGTAGTCGCATATGGTAACCAAATCTTCCTACCAAAAATTATTAATATTCGCCACCTTTTAGGGGTAGTTCCCCTTCTTATATTAAAATAGTTAGCTGATTAGTTCCGTGTGTAGAGGTTATCTTACACATACTTTACATACTTTAATCGTTACTCGAAATAGTGAGTTTTACCCTACAAATTATGGAATTCTAAGACAATTTAGCTATTGGTTGTAGTCGTTCCGCTTTCTAAGGAAATCTTGATAAAGAAAACTCGAACCTGACGATAATGAAATATATATATATATATCTAAATCATTACGCTATGCCACATTTCGTGCAAATCGAAGCGACTTAGTTGCACCATTTACATAAACACGGACGAAAATATATGTGGGAGCTATATCTAAATCTGAACCAATTTTTCTCAATTTCAATAGGGTTCGTCCTTGGACCAAATATGTGATCTATGCCAAATGTCATCCAATTCGGATCATAAATGCGACCTGTACTTTGTTTACAATTTAACATGGACAGACGGACGGACATGCGTAAATCGACTTAGAAGGTGATTCTATGCATATTCTAAAAATGAACCATGTGTCTATCTCGTTTCCTTTTGCTGTTACAAACATATGCACAAAGACATAATGCACTGTACCACAGGTGATGGAACTTTTAAAAAATGTCTTTTCACAGATGTTAATTAGGCGTGGATTATTTAAAAATGTTTTTTTATACCCTCCACCATAGTATAGAGGGTATACTACTTTTGTTTTTCCGTTTGTAACGCATCGAAATAATCATTTCCGACCCTATAAAGTATATATATATATATATATATATTCTTGATCAGCGTAAAATTCTATGACGATCTAAGCATGTCCGTCTTTTCGTCTGTCTGTTGTAATCACTCTAGCGTCTAAACGAATTGAGATAGAGCGTCAAAATTTTGCATAGAGTCGTCTTTTGTCTGCAGGCAGGTCAAGTTCGAAGATGGACTTTATCGGTCCACGTTTAGGCATAGCTCTCAAGAACCCCAAAATAACTCAATTTTCGGTATTTTGGGGTTCTTGAGCGCGTTTTTCAGTCAGATTCGCTGAAATTTGGTAAAATGGGTTCTTTTCGGATACCCAATTTCTCCACCAAAAATTATAAATATAGGTCCACTTTTTCTGGTAGCCCCCATATAACGGTACCTCCCAATTTTCAGTTTTTGGGGGATTTTGACCGGATTTTTCACCGAATTGGATGTAATTTAGTACTTTGAGTTCTTATTGGGTATCAAATATCTCCACAAAAAATTATAAATATAGGTCCATTTTTTCGGGTAGCACTCATATATGGGTACCCCAATTTTCGGTATTATGGGGTTCTTGAGCCCGTTTATCAACCGAATTCGCTGAAATATGGAAATTTGAGTTCTTATTGCGTAGCAAATCTCTCCACTAAAAATTATAAATATAGGTCATTTTTTCGGGTAGCACTCATATAAGGGTACCCCCAATTTTCGGTATTTTGGGGTTCTTGAGCCCGTTTATCAACCGAAGTCGCTGAAATTTGGAAATTTGAGTTCTTATTGCGTAGCAAATCTCTCCACTAAAAATTATAAATATAGGTCAATTTTTTTCGGGTAGCCCCCATATAAGAGTACCCTCCAATTTTCGGTATTTTGGGGTTCTTGAGCCAATTTGCTGTAAGTTGGTATTTTGTTGTTGTTAACCCCCTTTATAACCCCCTTTTTTATTTTAAAATAGTTTTTTCCCTGTGTTGGGGTTATCCCATGTAGCTGTATTCCACCATAGTAGGGGGGTTATTCGGTAGACGAATTTTTCAGTTCATACCCCACATAGTATGGAATTCTAAATCGATTTAGTCGATTTAGCCATATGTTGTAATCATTTTTCTCTCGGAGCATATCGACATGAAAACTAAAACGTGAGGTTTGAGAATGAACTGTATCGACCCGCATTTGGGACCAGGTCCTATTAAAACATCGTACCTATTTAATATTTAGCGTGGAACTTGAGTTACATCGGCCCTTAATTAGGCCTATCCCCTTATATAATGAAAACACCAAGTAGTTCCCAATGTTGTCAATATTGGTCCCGCTTTAGTATGCCTCATATATAATATTGCCCTTTCAATTGGAGTATTTTCAGGATTTTATACACATGTTTTACCGTACCATGCGTAAATAATATATGTCAAAATTTTAAGGTTTTGAGATTTTTAGAAAACCCCAATTAAAATTGCTCAATTTTACAATTACCGTTATATGTATCTTCCCTATGTTTTCATTTCAAAAAATTGTCAGTATTTCTATGGTGGAGGGTATCCAAAGTTCGGCCCGGCCGAACTTAACGCATTTTTACTTGTTAGAAACTACAATCAGGCGTGATTTTTTAGATTTATTTATGGACTATAATCAGGCGTGCATAAGTATTTTATGTATAGAAGAAATCTCCTTTTTACAAAACAGATCTTCTATCTGATCTAATAGAAGATCTATTCCATATTTTTTTTTAACAAACTTAAATACAAACCGTATAGGTAAACGTAACGACATCTTTATTTAGTAGAGTATGGAAAATGGATTACACGCTCTCAGTCGAAAATGTCACAACAACAACCATCGACAATTGCAATTTGATACGGCTTTACTTATGTATTTTCATTCATTCATAACAAAAAGTGATAT